CAATGAGGGGCAGGTGGATTTTGGCCTCACCACCCCTTGGCCAGTAGCCCTGTGGAGAGCACAACTGCATGACTGTCCAGGGCACTCTGACCCCACCTACTTGCTGTGTGACCCCAGGAAAGTTGCTTCATTTCTCTTGGTTTCAGTTTTGACATTTACTGAAAGAGCCACATTACTTCATAGGACCATTAAGGTCAAAGGACCTATAGGATGCAAAGTGCATGACAGGTGACTGGTACTCAAGGAATGACTGTCCTCACCTCAGTCTCACATCTGACAGGGAAAAGAAAAGCAGCTTTTATGTGATGTTAGAGCAGAGCAAGCACCTAGGTCTGAGTTTATCTGGGGAAGACTCTAGGAGCTCTCCTACCCAGAGGGCTTCCTGGCACCACTGTTTGCTGGGAAATGGCCTGCGCCCCGGCCTGACAGACTTGGGTTCACGCCCTGGCCCTGCCACGTATGCTTGTGAGCTGTGTGCCCCTGGGCAGGCACTCGACCTCTCTGTGTGCCATCTGTGCTCACAGCCCAGGGACACTCGTGCCTACTTCACAGTGATACCAGGAGGCCTGTAACCAGGTAACGTGTGGCCCCCAGCACACACTCAATGACAGATGATGCTGAGTGGCCAACGGAGGGAACCTGCCATGAGCTGTGGGACTGTGGCCTTAGCCACAACTCTGCCACTCCATCAAGGCCACAGAGCTGGAGGCCTTGAGGAGTTACAGAGGAACCACTGAATCTAAGCCAATGTCAGAGGGAGACACACACCTGTGCAGAGGTCATCCTTCAGCCAGTCCAGTTCTCTGACCTTAACTATACCACCTGGAAAAATAAACACACACGTAACCCCCTAAACTCAACACACAATTAGGAAAAAAGATAACCTTTGACACTAAACACCAAGATCAATTCGTCCACCCTCCCTCCTATCTAACTATCTTTTCACCACCCATCTGTCTTTCCCCTTCTGACTCTTTTTCCTTCCATCTAGCCTCTGCCCACTTTGGTTGTCCTCACTCCTTCCCACCTGACCACCAGCCGCCTTCCATCCCTGCAGCAGTCCTCCCAGCAGCTTTTACAAATTTTTGTAGCAATGGGGTCTTGCTATTGCACAGACTGGTCTCAAACTCTTGGCCTCAGGCAATCCTCCTGCCTTGGCCTTTCGAAGTGTTGGGACAACAGGTGTTAGCTACTGTGCCCAGCCTTTCTGACATTTTCTGAGTGCTCAGTGTCAGTGACTGTGCCAGGCACAGGGAACACAAAGACTTAAGAGTCATGGTCCCCTTTCTTGGGGACCAGCTCTTTAGGGGAGATGGGAAAAGTTAATAGGCGACTATAAGCCTGTATGGCCAGGGCAATATCAGGAGGAGAGAAGGGAGTTCCTATGTCATGGGAAATAGCAAATGTTCCAGCATTCTGGGGACTTTCTGGAGTTGGAGAGCAGTATGGCAGGGGGACAGTGGGAGAAAGGTAACAGGAGGGCCTCAAAGGAGGCTCAGCAGTGTGTGTGGCCACAGAAGAAAGGACCAGACGAGCAATCAGAAACTTCTGAAGGGCCTGAAGCCCGTGGGGCTGTTGGGAGGAGGAAGGTAGGAC